TAACCAGTAGGTAATTATCTATTTGAGAGCAGCTGAAAATTCACTCATTGTAACTACGAATCAGGGCTGTATTAGCAAGCAAACCAGTGATTGCTCCAAATAAACGTATTTTATAAGATAGCCAGCTTCTGGATGTGGCCATCACCGTTTTCTCTCAATATTTTTTGTTTTGTTTTCAGAGAGCTGGAACTTCCTATTGATCTCCTAAATCACATTGTTTAAACCCCCCCCCCCTACTCAGATTGGTTTGCTCTATGTTCACCCTGCAGGGACTGACTGAAGCAAAACCTTCTGTTTTCTGGAACAGGCAGGAATGGAACCACGGGGAGTGCTGTGAAACTGTGTGGGGAGAATGGTTGCTGAGAACAGGGATTTAAAAAGGCAAACATCCTCAAAGATGGAGAAGAGGGTTGGGAAACAATTCAGATCTCCCAAAAGTCTTATCCCCCCCCCAACTTTAAACTGAAAACCACAACTGTCAGATTTATTTGCTGGCAGTTATTTAGCTGCTTCTTTGACAGCCCCTCCTTTCCTCCCCATCCATCATCTGTTGCCCTTCTATGTGTGCCTCCTCTGCGAGAGGTCCGGAGGGCAGCAAATGAGAACGGGCCTTTTCTGCGGTGACTCCCCAGTTGAGGAATGCTCTCCCCAGGGATGCTTGCCAGGCACCTTCGTTACATATCTTTAGGTGCCCAGCAAAAACATTCCCAGGCCTTTGGAGAATTTATAGGGGAGTTTATTGTTTTTGCTTGTTGCTATGGTACATATTAGGGACGCGGGTGGTGCTGTGGGTTAAACCACAGAGCCTAGGGCTTGCCGATCAGAAGGTCGGTGGTTCAAATCCCCGCGACAGGGTGAGCTCCCGTTGCTCAGTCCCTGCTCCTGCCAACCTAGCAGTTTGAAAGCATGAAGTGCAAGTAGATAAATAGGTACCGCTCCGGCGGGAAGATAAACGGCGTTTCCGTGCACTGCTCTGGTTCGCCAGAAGCTGCTTAGTCATGCTGGCCACATGACCCGGAAGCTGTATGCCGGCTCCCTCGGCCAATAAAGCGAGATGAGCGCCGCAACCCCAGAGTCGGTCACGACTGGACCTAATGGTCAGGGGTCCCTTTACCTTTACAGTACATATTGTTGTGTTTTTATATTGTAAACTCTCCTGTGATCCTTGGATGAAATTTAATAAACAATAATAATCATCCACCATGATTGACGAACAAGTTTCAGAGGCGAGAGGCATATAAGCTCAAATACATATTTCCTTAGAAAACACTTGCCCCTGGAGTGGGTCACCTGGCGGAACAGAGCCTCAGAAGCACCCTCCCTGCAGAAGCATCATTGTCGCTTACCGGGGAGGAGTAAGGTGGTGGCAGGGTCAGGGCAGTGATGGAGCCGATCCGCCATTCCCACCGGTGCCGGCCCCAACCTCACAGCAGCCTTGGCCCTCTTCCTCCCTTTAAGCTGCAGCAACACTTCTGCCAGGAGGCTCTTGCTGCAGGCCCCCCCCCCCACCAGACAGGCAGCTCCAGCTCCTGCCTTGGCCCATTTTTACTCACAGAGCTGCTTGCAATGAATAATGCATTGCATTGCAAACAGTTTGTTTTCTGCTGCCAGGTACACACCTTGAAACTCCTTATTTTCTCCTGCCCGCTGTACCCTTCTCTGAGTTTCTCAGCTTTTGGCTGCTTTCTCTGCTGCAGCTCTAGTTTTTCCAGAGGTTCGGAGCCCAGCTTTGCCTCTTTCATCAGTGATGCTGACTTAGAAAGAGAAGAGGGGCTCAACAGACACTTCTGCTGGGTCAGTCAGAGGACAGAGCCATACCTCAAGCACAAAGTCATACTCCCCACTAAATTAATCTGGACAACCTGCCAGGCACAGTGGGTCCTCTCTCCGTGGTCAGTCGCTAAAGTGGGTTCGATTAAAAAGGCTTGGGAAAGTCCCTGTTGGTGAAGGTGGCGAGGTGGATAATCTATGTTAAAAGGGGACTAATCTGAGTAAAGTGATCTTGGATGTGCATTGTGGCAGGGATCAGAGAGATTTAGCAACTGTCCACATCTCCCTAGGGAGGCACACTTCACACATGAGAATTGGTGCTTTATTAGACCATTCAAAGCCACCTCCTGACTGTTCATAATTGATTCTGCTCCCAGCGTGATCAGACGAGTCCATTGTCGTGCCCTGTGGGGACTGCCTGCTATAAAGTCATCTCCCTAGCTCCTGGGTGAACAAGATCTGCATCTGTGTTCAGACATATTCTGCTATTCACTCTGGAAGTTTGAGAATCTGGGGTATTTGGCGCAGGATCTGTTGTCCTGAGAACCCCAAAGGACCATTATAACAATCCTCATTGCAGGAGGAATAACTGTGTGTGTAATATATAAAATATATGGGCTCTGCTGTGTTATATTAATAGGAAATAAGAGGGAAAAGAGAATAACCATGTTAAAGATTGCTCTTCTGGCAGAGAATAGTAGATTTTATTTATTTCTGTTCTTTCTTCATTAGCTTCTTTGATCTTTGAATCTACATTTGTATGATAAAACAGATTTTAATTTTCCATCTTGGCAGCAGAATAAATTATGCCAAGCAAATGCATGTGCAATATATATTTGTGTGTTCTGAGGATAAAACTGAGGACTCCTGGGCATGGTATTTGCATTTTAAATAATAATAAACTAAAATATTTAGCAGGCGGTATTTTACAGCCTTGCTCCTCTCGCTCTCGTAAAGAGGTCTCCATAATCCAGCCCCAGAGGCAAGGTTTAATAAGGCAGGGCTCAGCTTTGGAACCTGCTTTGAATGCCAGAGCTCAGATCTAAGGCATGCCAAATATTAATGCATTGGTACTGGCACCCCCTGCTTAGGAGCAAAAGTTTCCTAGCTTTGTCTAAGATGGAATGAAATAGAGAAATATACAAGTGGGACTTCAAACAAAATGGTGAACTCTGGTTGGCTAGCTGGAACTCTGCCCTCTTCCACAATACACCATTCCTTCTCTCTCTCTCTCTCTCTCTCTCTCTCTCTCTCTCTCTCTCTCCCCCCCCCCCCAGTTTTCCATTCCTACCCCCTCCAACCATCAGCCTGCCTTCCAAGACCACTGGGCATGCTCAGTCCTCAGTGTGGTAGCCCTTTGATCTGACCCAATTTCCGTACAGAGTGGCAGAGCTACTCCTGATGCAGGGAAGGTGATGTGTGCCATGCCTGCAACACAGACCTGTTAATGGGACGTGTGTTTATAAGGCAAGGGTGGGGAACCGGCAGCCTGTCTTTGTGCAGGGGGCAAGGAGAGAGAAAATAAGGAAAAGGGGGCTGGCATGGGGAGAGAGAGAGAAAGAGAGAGAGAGACATATAGCTCAGTCAGTAGAGCTTGAGACTCTTAATCTCAGATTGTCCATATTGGTCAAAAAGATTCCTGCATTTCAGGAGGTTGGACTGAATGACCCTCGTTGTCCCTTCCAACTCTGATTGTACGTGGCAGGGAGAGAGGAAATGAGGGAAAGGGGGTTGGCACCAAGAGAGAGAAAAGGATACCCTAAGTTTTGGCATAGGCTCCATCCACCAGGAGCTCCAGCCCCTATATGCTGTCAGCATGCAGCCCCCAACACTTAACCCTCAAACAAATGTGGCCTTTGGCAGCACAAAGGTCCCCCATCCCTGCTGTAATAGGGAGAGGCTCGGGGAAGGCATTCGCTGAGATAGCTGCTAACTGATTCTACTTCTATTGTAGCTGATGAGCATTCTATACAGCGATTAAACAGACTGTTGTAATCAAGTGGTAAAGGTAAAGGGACCCCTGACCATTAGGTCCAGTCGCGGACGACTCTGGGGTTGCGGTGCTCATCTCGTTTATTGGCCGAGGGAGCCGGCGTACAGCTTCCGGGTCATGTGGCCAGCTTGACTAAGCTGCTTCTGGAGAACCAGAGCAGCGCACGGAAATGCCGTTTACCTTCCTGCCGGAGCGGTACCTGTTTCTCTACTTGCACTTTGACGTACTTCCGAACTGCTAGGTTGGCAGGAGAATCAAGTGGTATATAAAATAAATACATAATGGCACCTTGCTTTGGTTCTCTGTAGTGAGGGGCAGGAATCGGAATTGTAGAGTTGGAAGGGGCCCTGAGGATTAGTTAGCCCAAGGTAAACAGCGTTTCCGTTTGCTGCTCTGGTTCACCAGAAGCGGCTTAGTCATACTGGCCACATGACCCAGAAGCTGTACGCCGGCTCCCTCGGCCACTAAAGCGAGATGAGCGCCGCAACCCCAGGAGTCGGCCACGACTGGACCTAATGGTCAGGGGATCCCTTTACCTTTACCCTGCAATGCACGACTGTCCCATACGGGGATCAAACCTGCAACCTTGGCATTATCAATTCCACACTCTTAACCAACTGAGCTATCCAGTGAGCCATGTGTTCTGTGTTTACTATTACAGTGGTACCTCTGGTTACGTACTTAATTCGTTCCGGAGGTCCATTCTTAACCTGAAACTGTTCTTAACCTGAAGCACCACTTTAGCTAATGGGGCCTTCCGCTGCCGCGCTGCCGTTGTGAGATTTCTGTTCTCATCCTGAAGCAAAGTTCTTAACCCGAGGTACTATTTCTGGGTTAGGGGAGTCTGTAACCTGAAGCGTATGTAACCTGAAGCTTATGTAACCTGAGGTACCCCTGTATACAGAGACTTTTGCATTAAAATGCTTGCACTTAAAAAATAAAAAAAAATAATGTAACCACTTAAAAAATAATGTAACCTGAAGCATATGTAACCCGAGGTACCACTGTAGTGATGTGCTTGGCGTTGCTCTCTGCTTAAGCCCTGCAATTGAAAAGATTTTGGGGCAGAGCCCTGGTGAGCTTGAGCTGAAATTAATCATTACTTTGAGCCCCCCCCCAACTTGGCATTTCGTAAATTAAGCACTGGCCATAGGTGTGTGTGTGTGTATCTCTGTATCTATATCTGCCCTGTTCCTGCTCCATCCCTACTTAACTGCCTTCTCTTTTTCTCACGCAGCCGAGCAACTGAACGGCATCGGAGGTTTGGTGACGGTGCCCCCCGTCCCTGCTCCCACCTCTCCAGATAAGCAGCCCTGTCTGGTGTCTCCGGCGGCAGCAGCGCCCCCGCCGCCCCACTCAGCCCCCTGCCCAGAACCTAGCCAGAGTTCCAAGAGCGGGCAAACCTGGGTGACGAAGGTGGGAGAGATCTCTACGGCAACTGCAGTTCCAGCCACTTCAGGGGCGGCACCCAGTAGCAACGGCAACACCAAGCCTGACGAAGAGAAGGCCAAGAAGCTGTTGTACTGCGCACTTTGCAAAGTGGCTGTCAATTCACTGTCTCAACTCGAGGCCCACAACAAAGGTAAAAACTTTTTTGGGGGGGAGCATGTTTTCATGAGATCCGATTTCTCATTACCACTTCATGGTCCTGTTCACTGCTCACTTCTCCTTTGCAAAGTGCCCTTGTGGGGAGGTGCTTTGCAGCACAGATTTTGAGAAGTGGGTAATACTTATCCCAGTCAATTTCCACTTGAAATTAAAGGTAGAGGTAAAGGGACCCCTGACCACTAGGTCCAGTCGTGGCCGACTCTGGGGTTTCGGCGCTCATCTCGCTTTATTGGCCAAGGGAGCCGGCGTACAGCTTCCAGGTTCATGTGGCCAGCATGACTAGGTCACTTCTGGCGAACCAGAGGAGCGCACGGAAACGCCGTTTACCTTCCCGCCGGAGCGGTACCTATTTATCTACTTGCACTTTGACGTGCTTTCAAACTGCTAGGTTGGCAGGAGCAGGGACCGAGGAGCAACAGGAGCTCACCCCGTCATGGGGATTCAAACAGCCGACCTTCTGATCAGCAAGTCCTAGGCTCTGTGGTTTAACCAACAGCGCCACCCGCGTCCCATCCACTTGAAATTAGGGCCACACTAATTTCCACTTGAAATTAGTACCTAAGCTGCTTTTTCTGCTGCAGGATTGCAGACCCATCAGCCCAAAATCTCAGCAAGGATAAAAGCAACTTGGTAGTGGTGGTATGAATCAGGTGAAAATCAAGGGGCAAGGGGGGGGCATGTGCTCCCATTCCCCCTCCCTGCCCCTCTCACAGCTTCCCTGCTTTAAAGTTTTTTGCAAAGGAAGGAGGTTGGGCATCAAACTATCATTACCTGCGTCAGTGTAATAACATGGTAGTTTGGAAAAACAGTTTTATGAGTTGTGTGTTGCAGCTGGTGATAACCAGAGCTGTATAGTCTGCATTTTAGAAAACAACATTCCCTGTTCTCACCCCTCATGTTCTGCACCCAGGTATTCCAAATCCTGTATCAAGAAAAAGGGGATTCTGAAACTCATATACACATTTGCATAGCTTCTTTCCCCTATTCTGTGTAATTAGTTCTAGTTTTGGAGAGACTGGTAGGAGCAAGGAGCTGTGCTCATCAGTACTAGAATTTGCATTCAGCCTCCCCTTTGGCTTCTCGCGAGGTGTCAATCCCCACTTGCTTTCCAGCGGAACTTCAGAGCCATAGCCAGAGTCATTCAAAATCTCTTAGCGCCAATTGAACAGCACACTGAACAGCACTGAAGTGTGTAAATATTTCCTTTAGTGTCTGAAGACGAAGCTTTTGTTTTCTTTCTTTCTACGGTAAGAAATGGTGGAGATGAAAGAAAAGTGTTCCATGTGAATGCCCTGGACTAGCAGAGAGATGTGAGGGGACAAGCATGTGCAGGATAGCTGATCCAAGGCTGTGTCCATGCTCGGGGATTCATGCGCCCGTTCATGGGTTGCTGTTCCCATGTGTCCTTTTGTGCTTTCAGTTTTATACCTCTGGAATCTTTCTCGGTGTTTCCTGTCCACACTCGTGGGCAGTGCTTGATGAGATGTATTCATGCTGTGCATTGTCCCCTCCTCACAAGTAGTACTTCCCCATAAGTTCCAGAAACCTGAGGCCCACTGTGGCTGTGCATACAGGTATTTCTTTAGCTCTGCATGCACCTTTGGAACAATATGCAAGTTTTCCAATATACCCAAAAGAGCAGTCAAATATAATTTTAAGATGTGTCTAAAAGAATAGTCTGTGTGTGTGTGTGTGTGTGTTGCTCCAAGCATGGCAAGTACAGTGGTGCCTCGCAAGACGAAAAGAATCCGTTCCGCGATTCTTTTCGTCTAGCGGTTTTTTCGTCTTGCGAAGCAACCCCATTAGCGGCTAAGCGGATTAGCGCTATTAGCGATTTAGCACTATTAGCGGCTTAGCAGGCTTAGCGGCTAAGCTGTTAAAAGGCTATTAACAGCTTAGCGGCTTTGAAAAAGGGGGGGAAGCGGGGGGGAAATGGCGAGACTCGCAAGATGTTTTCGTCTTGCGAAGCAAGCCCATAGGGAAATTCGTCTTGCGAAGTGCCTCCGCAACGGAAAACCCTTTCGTCTTGCGGGTTTTTCATCTTGCGAGGCATTCGTCTTGCGGGGCACCACTGTATTTGAATTCACTTGCATGAAAGACTGCCAAATATTTCCTTTGCTCTCCTTTTTCTTTCTCACCTCCTGTACCTGCAAGGCCACATTTTGTTTTAATTTTGAATACAGCTACTCTGTGCAAGAGCAGTTCTGCGCAAAATGGCTGTTTAAAAAATAATGGCGAATGTGCCTTCAGCAGCAACCAGCGGGAAAGGGCAGTCTGCATCCTTTCCTTTGGGCTGATGGAAACAAAATAAAAGTGGTGGGGGTGGCACCAGATGCCCCCCCCTACAAGTGAAATGATACATGTGTAAAAAGACAAAAACAAGCCTGCCCACCTGCACAATGTGCTTCAGTGCATCCACAGTTGGGTGACATGGTTTTATATTTGATTTTTTATCCTGTATCAGATTATCTGTGCATCCATAAGATAAGAATTTAGCAGGGGGAAGGTGCAGACTGCCACTTGAATGAAGACGATATGCAAACACATCTGCAATTCCACATTAACCTTGTGTGGATGAGCCCCAGATCGGAATAGAACAAGAAGGCAACACCTGTTCTGCCACTGCCCTAGTAAGGGGGGGGTAACCTTAGGGTGGCGCTGTGGGTTAAACCACAGAGTCTATGATTCGCCGATCAGAAGGTCGGCGGTTCGAATCCCTGTGACAGGGTGAGCTCCCGTTGCTCGATCCCTGCTCCTGCCAACCTAGCAGTTTGAAAGCATGTCAAAGTGCAAGTAGATAAATAGGTACCACTCCAGCGGGAAGGTAAATGGCGTTTCCGTGCACTGCTCTGGTTCGCCAGAAGCGGCTTAGTCATACTGGCCACATGACCTGGAAGCTGTATGCCGGCTCCTTCGGCCAATAAAGCAAGATGAGCACCGCAACCCCAGAGTCAACCACGACTGGACCTAATGGTCAGGGGTCCCTTTACTAACTTTAGCCCCTCCAGACACTGTTGACCTCCAGCTCCCATCACCTCCAGCCGGCATGGCCAATGATTAGGGGTTATGGCAATTCTGGAACATCCCTGTACTAGTCTTTGCTGATCTTAAGTAGTCTCATGCGCATCCTCTACACCCTGCTCGATCTTAATAGCCATTGCCCTACTATGCCAGTAAAAATTGCTCCATTTCTCCTCCTAGCCCAACTTTCAGCAGCTGATAAAGACACAGGAGCCCTGCCAGAAAAAAAAGTGGCAACCTTCCTGCCACTCCTTCCTCCTCTCTTTCTCCTGCCCCAAACTCAGCTCTTTTGTCTCCTTTCCCCATAGTGCTTTGCAGCTTTGGCTTTGTCACTATGGAAACAATAGCTGGAGCCTTGGGTGCGGCTGCAGAGCCCCTGTTGGCAGCCCGTCAGGCATTCCCCACAAAAATGAGCTCACAGGCACAGGAGCTTAAGTTTCCTGTGGAAACCCCTGCTCCCTTCTCCCAACCAACTTTCCAGGTCTGGAGAATCAGGAGACGAGAGCAGCGCAGCAGCCGCTCTTGAGCGAGGCCGTGCCTTTCAGCAAGCTGTATCCTTTCTCGTCCCTTTGCATGCCTCACCTCGGCCTGTATCTCCCTTCCACATGCATTAGCATCTAGTCAAGAGCCGCAGCGCTGTGGCCGAGAGGCCGCTGAGCAGCTTCGAAGGAAACTGGAGACTTTGGAAGGGTCCGGAGGGTCAGAACTGCGATGCCTCAGCAGCAAAGCCAAGGCCATCATAGCAAGCAGGGTGACCCAAGACATGTTAGTGCCTGAGGAAGGAAATCCGAATAGTGCTTCTCTCCCCTTCTCTATCCTCCTCCTCCTTGCATAGAAATATATATATATATAATAATAAAATAAGCAATGGATCATTTCCCACCCTGTGCTGGCAGCCAGCATTTGCTGCCTGTAGGCCTACTCTGCTCTAGCCAGCCCTGGCGGGCGGGAGGGCAAGGCAAAGAGAAGAGCTTTGCCTTCCATTTTGGTAAAAATAGAAAAGTTGGGTGTTCTGTGGTACTGAGTCATTACCTGGAAAAACTGTATACTTTGCTGAAAACCGGTAAAAAAAGAAGGAAGGGTTTGTTAGAACAGGGCTGGGCTTAACTATTGTGCCAGCAAGAACAAGGCTCTGGCCTGGTTGGCACCTTGTCTGCGGTATCGTATTCTGAGGCTTATCCCCTAGTCCAGGGGTCTGCAACCCGTGGCTCCAGAGCCGCATGTGGCTCTTTTACACCTTTTCCGCGGCTCCGGGGCAGATACTAGCGAGAGGAGGAGGCGCATTGTGCGCCCCGACACTCCCCACTGTGGCGGGCGCTGTACTGGCTGTGACGTCGCATGGGGGCGGTGCGTGCGTTAGTCACGCACCGTCCCGACGTCACTTCCCGCCGCTGTCAGATCGCGGCTCTGGAGATCATATTTGGTTTTAAAATGTCGCAATTAGTTTTGCGGCTCCCCAGTTTTTTTCCCCTTTGAAACGGGTCCAAGTGGCTCTTTTTGTCTTAAAGGTTGCAGACCCCTGCCCTAGTCCTGTGATAACCAAACTTTGGGTCTCTGCTGTTTTGGACTACAACCTCCCATCACCTAGCTAGCAGGACAGTGTCAGGGGTGATGGGAGTTGTAGTCCAAAAACAGCCAGAGGCCCAAAGTTTGGGAGGCTCAGCCCTAGTGCCTCTCTCTGTTATAGACAGTTCTCAGAACTGTGACAGCATGAAGGGGCTGTTATGTTTTGTTTTTAATGAATAATGCTTAGGCACTTTATTACAGCACATTTCAATTATTCAAAACCCTCACAGGCATTAATCTAAGGTCGCAAGCCCACATTGCTGGTTGAAAGGCCCTTTTAAAGTAACATCCTTAGGACGGGGGGGGGGGAGCTGCTGGAGCCCCCCAGTTTGGATGAAGACCATGAAGCAGGTGAGAGGGGAGCTTAACCCGTTCCCACCCGTATATTTCAATAATAATAATTTTTTAAAAAATTATTTATACCCCACCCATCTGGCTGGGTTTCCCCAGCCACTCTGGGCGGCTTCCAACAAAACATTAAAATACACTCATTCATGAAATATTAAAAGCTTCCCTAAACAGGACTGCCTTCATATGTCTTCTAAAAGACTGGTAGTTGTTGTTCTCTTTGACATCTGGTGGGAGGGCGTTCCACAGGGCAGGTCCTACACACCTTTGGGAGCAAATAGTAGTTTGGTGGGAGAGGAGGTGGTGTTGACAGGAAAAAACAGCACAGAGCAAGGATGGTAGTCCCTTTGCCTATCCCAATCTGGATCAGGGACCCATGGCTGATTTAGAAAAAGATGTGGGCACTTCTCAGCGCATTGGTGAAAAACACTTTTAATACAACCTGTAGTTTGACCCAAAGTAAACCTCCCACCAGCTCTACAAGTAAGTGTTGTAATTCTCCCCCACAATGTAGGGACTGGTGATAGGACTGAGGTGGAAGAAGAGTGGCTTTTATTTTTATTTATTAAATTTGTATACCACCCAATACCTGGAGGTCTCACTTAGGCCACCTCAGGAGTTAGTTGATGGCTGAAGCAAGATTTGGGCAGCACCAAAAACGAAAGGAAGCCTCAGAACAGTACTGCAAAATTAAATCTTTTATCAAGTAATCATAATCCTTATGGAATAATAAACTGCCTAACGTGTTTTGGTTGATACTAACCTTCACATGAGTGGAGAGCCTTAATATTGAGCCCCTGAGGAAGGCTGTCATCAGCTGAAACACATTTGGCCTTTTATTGCCTCACAAGGACTGTGTATTATTTGAACAAGACTCGTTTCTCAGCGCATCTTCGAGGCTTTGCCTCTTCTTTGGCTCCCTGAGCTGGGATTTGAACCAGGCTTTTCCTGACTTCATAGCTCATACTCTTAACTGATATTCTACAGTTGGGGATTACTTTTCCCATCGTTTCCAGAAACAGCTGGGATTTAGGAACATTGGAAGCTGCCTTGTATCAAGTCAGGCTCTAGCTCTGTGTTGGTGGTTCTGCAGCAGCGGCACATGCCATGGCGGCAGCGGCGGAATCAAGGCAGTGGCAGGATGGGGTGAAGCGTGGGGAGCTTCAGTTTGGCGGCAGCAGCGGCACAGGTGTGCACATACCTATGAGGGCCCCGGGCACTAACTTTGAGCTCTCCTGACCTTGCCGCTTCCTCACCCCACCCCACCCCTGGCCTGAGATGTCGGGAACTGAATTTGGGACCTTCTGTTCCAGAGTTATGGCCACCTCGCCTTAATAAAGCGGGCTCGTGTGAAGTTTAGAATGCTGCCTCTTCTCCTGACGATTTCAGGGGGGGGGTGTAGGAGGGGATAACTGTACTTTTGGATGTTCTGTGTGTATGTGGCTGCTTTAATTTTTCTCTGTCCCCTCTTCATGAAACAGTGGCAGCTGGGTGCAAGGCAGGGGTGTGTGTATGTGCATTCCCTAACTCTGCAGACATACTATAAAGGGGACCCCTGACCATTAGGTCCAGTTGTGTCTGGCTCTGGGGTTGCGGCGCTCATCTCGCTTTATTGGCCGAGGGAGCCGGCGTACAGCTTCTGGGTCATGTGGCCAGCATGACTAAGCTGCTTCTGGCGAACCAGAGCAGCGCAAGGAAATGCCGTTTACCTTCCCGCCGGAGCGGTATCCTATTTATCTACTTGCACTTTGACATGCTTTCGAACTGCTAGGTTGGCAGGAGCAGGGACCGAGCAACGGGAGCTCACCCTGTCGCGGGGATTTGAACCGCCGACCTTCTGATCGTCAAGTCCTAGGCTCTGTGGTTTAACCCACAGCGCCACCCACGTCCAGACATACTATACAAATGCACAAATTAATATCGGGTGCAGAATTCAGCATCTATTGGGCCTCAAGTGTAGAAAGCAGGCAAAAACCCAAGTGTTTGGCCCTTGTGGCTGCAGAGGCAGACAGAGAGCAATGTTTCAGTGCCCTCCTTATTGCTTTGCTCCTTGACCAGTAGAGCAGAATAAAATTTCAAATAAAAGCATATTTGTTTAATTTGTACAAATTCAGCTTTTTGGGGACATAATTAGGGTTATCTTGGTTTAGGATTTGGATTTATTTTTTCCGCCCAAAATATGCACAATCCTAGTGTGTGGCAACTCTTCTTGTCACATACAACATGCACACACCTCATTACCTTGTGTTAGAGTAAGTTATTGCTTCTCAGGTGAATGAATCCAATCATTTCTGAGCTAAACCCACACAAGAGGGGTGCCTGGCCCATGGGCAAGGATATTCCAGGAAGATAAAGTGCCCAGGCAATACCCTACCCAGTGGCTCAGTAACATGGAAGCCTGCTCCTGCCAATGGGTCTTGCCTACTTAATACATGGACACTGGTACTTGTGAATATAATCTGAATATATTTTTACATTTGTTTTATTGTAACGTCTAAGTAAATAAGTGCCTATAAACTCATTACATCTCTTGAAACGAGGTTTTATGTTGTTTTGCACCGAATTACAGAGGGCCCTCAGTGTAACTCTAGGCCCCATCACTGCCACCAAATTTCTGGCTATAGGCCAATCCATTTTTAGGTTTCTTGACATCTGCTGGCTGTCAAGTTTGTTACCTCAGTGTCTTGATTTGATCCGATAGGCCTGCCCAGAGGTTCCTGATGTCATGCATCAGTAGGGTAGTTGTGTTTCATGTCAGCTGCACACGCACGACAGTTTTTAACCTATGGGCTTCCTGGGTTTCCCCTCAAAACCCTGCGCGATTGGCATAAAATTAATGTATAGCTATTTGAAAGTGACCTTGATGCCTGCCGTAGGACTTATATCCATACAGTGCCAGGTTGGAAAGCAGACCCTGGCTTCCTTGCCTCTGCCCTCCCCCTCCATGGCCATTTTCTTATGCTATAGGTCATGAGTAGGGGACCTGGGCCCGCAACAGAGAAAGCCAGATGTTGGGGAGAAGAATGTTAACTTCGTCCTTGACATGCTTGTTTTCCATGTTCTGAGAATGTTGTGCATAAGGGGATTCCACTGTTTAAATCCCTGCCTGAAGCATGAAGTAGTGCAGTGATGGCCAAACTTGGCCCTCCAGCTGTTTTGGGACTACAACTCCCATCATCCCTAGCTAACAGGACCAGTGGTCAGGGATGATGGGAACTGTAGTCCCAAAACAGCTGGAGGGCCAAGTTTGGCCATCACTGAAGTAGTACAACCCAGTACAGGTTTATCCACCTTAGTGAAAACTTGGTTATTACCATGCCCCCTTCCATGAGGTTATAACCTAAATTTGAGGTGAGCAATTGTAAAAGAAGCTAGTAGGGAGAGAGGGCAGGGAGAGTTAAACTTGCTGTGAGGAGATTTCTAATCCCAGAGGGATTTTCTGTGAACAAATGTGGAGGGAGGTGTTAGGTCAATGTTTGAGAGGTCTGTTTTTTGCTCTTGTCAGTGAAGTTGACAATTGTACTTTACTTGTGACATAAAAACAGGCAGCAGATGTTAAATAAGACGATGACATATCATGCCCCTTTGGCTAACCATCTCTTTGAAATAAAAACACATTCCTTTGTTGAGGGAGCTGGTTCTGTAAAGAAGGTGCCACTGCAGAAAAGACCCTGGTCCATGTCCCCACTGATCTTCCCATGGGGACCCATGGGATGCACAACAAACCATAGGTTAAATTCCTTTAATTGTAGGACTATAATTTCTATGATTACAATGAAAATAACTAAAGTTTTCACTTAAACCCTTATATTATGGAGGGCTGGTTAAGAGTAATGATCCATTTTGTGCTTGGCACTTGCTGTGAAGCAAGCATCCCGCCTGGAGTGCTATAAATAAGAGATCTGATGAATGGAAGTATCTCAAGAGGGTGCTTTGAGCCTTTATACTTACAGAACTGCTTCTTGTTCTCTTCCTAGGTACAAAGCACAAGACTATCCTGGAAGCACGCAGCGGGTTGGGGCCTATCAAGGCATATCCACGCCTGAGCCCCACCACTGGAGGGGAGCCAGGCAGCCAAGACCCCAGTGCTCAGGAGAGAACCTTCCACTGTGAAATCTGCAATGTCAAAGTCAACTCGGAGATCCAGCTCAAACAGGTGGGGAGGCATTTTAATACCACGAGGGTCTATTTTGCTGGTGGAGGCCTTTGTGCCGCTAGAAAGAGTGTAAGGGACACAGTATAATCAAAGTTATTTTATTTTATAATCCTCAGCTATGAAAGAGCTATGTGCCTCTGAGCATACACGGAGTACATTTCCCTCTCCTCTTGGTAATGGCAGTCAGTCCAGGTTTAGAGAACAGCAAACTTTTGTGTCGAAAGAGCACAGCTTCCAGGGTACCTTGAGCTCCCTATCAGGACTTCCTATTGCATAAATTTAAGCACTGGCTTTAGCCCAAGTCACTGGGGGCAGAATCAGCTCACCGATGGGGGCAAAATGAAGTGGTTTCCCATTTTGATCTTTGTTGAGAGCTGCAGTGTGTGGGACAGATATAACCCATGGGGCACAGCTCCTGTCCACAAGGACCCTCATACCTACGGGACCCCCTCTCCAGGTATGTCCCACGGAGGACCTTACGGTCTTCAAATAAAAACATCCTGGAGGGATGTTCAAATAAAAACATCCAGGGAGGTTAGGCTGGCCTCAACCAGAGCCAGGGCTTTTTCAGCCATGGCCCCAATCTGGTGGAACGCTCTGTCACAAGAGACTAGGGCCCTGGGGGACTTGACATCTTTCTGCAGGGCCTGCAAGACAGAGCTGCTCCACCAGGCCTTTTGCCAAGGCACAGTCTGACCCCCTGCTTTGGTAATCCACATAGAACTCTAGCCCACTGGTTGCCATTAATTTGATTTTGGTTTTAGAATGAATTGATTTTAGAATGCATTTCAATTAATTGATTGTGATTTTATGTAAACTGTGTTACTTTTATTGTTGTTAGCCGCTCTGAGCCCAGCTTCGGCTGGGGAGGGCAGGATATAAATAAAAAATTATTATCATTATTATTATTCAGTGGGGATCTCTCTGGTGGATTGTGCTCTGTTAATTTGGAGTGGGGAGAACATTGGCGCTGCCCACCTCAGGCACCAGACAACCATGGCCTACCCCATTATTTGCTGTCTGTGTACAAATAATGCCTGGGCGCTCCCACGCCCCACTGACTCTCCCCTAGGTATGTGCACAAGGAAACAGAAATTAGCAGCTCCGGTGAGCATGTCAGAACTTCACTTACTGAATTCTGTGCATGCTTGTTGATGGATTGGGGAAGGGAAGGAGATGTTGAGGGAAACCAAGTCAGGGAGTGAAGATTCCTTGGTTGCTCCTAAGCATTATGCCTGGTTCTTCCCCTTTGTAGCACATTTCCAGTCGACGGCACCGGGATGGAGTAGCTGGGAAGCCCAACCCCTTGTTGAGTCGGCACAAGAAGCAGCGAGGCATGGCAGAGCTGCAGGTGAGTGGCCTTTGCCAGGGTGGGCAGGGGCTGGGGGCATCTCTCTGTTTGGAGTGGGTTGGGGTAACTGTATTGGACAGACTTTGAGAGCTGCCACCCTGCACATTGTTGTTGTTGTTTAGTCGTTTAGCCGTGTCCCCATGGACCAGAGCACGCTAGTCTTCCACTGTCTCCCGCAGTTTGGTCAAACTCATGCTGGTAGCTTCGATAACACTGTCCAACCATCTCGTCCTCTGTTGTCCCCTTCTCCTTGTGCCCTCCATCTTTCCCAATATCAGGGTCTTTTCCAGGGACTCTTCACTTCCCATGAGGCGGCCAAAGTATTGGAGCCTCAGCTTCACGATCTGCCCTTCCAGTGAGCACTCAGGGCTGATTTCCTTCAGAATGGATACGTTTGATCTTCTTGCAGTCCATGGGACTCTCAAGAGTCTCCTGCAGCACCATAATTCAAAAGCATCAATTTCCATACATCACTACTGGGAAAACCATTGCTTTAAACTATATGGACCTTTGTCGACAAGGTGATGTCTCTGCTCACCCTGTACATACATACCCCTAAATCTCACCAGATGACATAAACCGAGCAAAACAAAATGTTTGAAGGCAGCTTTTTGCTCCAGGGTGTTTTTTATTTATAAAAATAGGCACCAACTCTACAGGGCTGAGGCATCTTCAGCCCCCACTCCCCATGTCTGTTGGGGTGGGATCAAGCCCCTCTCCCAATATTGAGGAGGCTGACTCCTTCCTTGCTCCCCTCCCTTTGTCTGCTGTCTTGTGCTGCTTTGGGAGATGCCACATGGCCTGGCTGGAGGTCATCCTAGGCCACGCAGCAACAGAAGACACCGCACAGACACGGGAGATCTGCGACAGTTGTGTGACATCACGCATGCTTAACAGCCCCCCCCCAACGTTGGGTGCAGCTTAGCTTCCTTTTCTGGTTGGGGAAGGGATAGAGCATCTGCTTTGCATGTGGAAGGTTCCAGGTTCAGTCCCTGGCATCTCAAAATAATGTTGGGTGTCCAGCAATAAATCACACAAAGTGAAGTTAACTCTTTATTAGGAGAAACAAGGCTGCTCAATAGTTCCAGGCCTAATGAGCGCAACAACAACTCCCGGTAGATCTTGCCCCTGGTGAGGACTGAAGTTCTCTACCAGGTCAAAGCTGCCTAAGTGCCCTCCTCTCCCTAGTCCTTCCCAAGCTCTACCAGTGCGCCTGTTTGTACTTCTCCTGATTCTGGGAGACCAGGGGAGAGAAAAGCTTGTCGCAGCAGGAGGGGGAGACTCCCTGGAAGGCCTGGGCGATGTGTTGCCCACAAAGACAGTGGCTTCACCCAGCAGTATATTGCAGGGGTAACTGCTGCTGCTCCTGAATCCCCTCTGCTAACAGGGTCACTGGAAGCAGAGGGACTCGGGAGCAGCAGTGGTTTCACCCACTATATACTGCTGGGTGAAGCTGCCATCACACACTGCCCCTCCTAACACAGAGGGAGGAGCAAGCTGTATTGTTGGGCCAATGCAGCTTATTCCTCCCTCAGCTGTAAACGGCTCCGCTAAGGCATGGGCTCGCTCCTCAGCGGAGCAGTTTAAAGAAGCCCCACCCCGCCTCTGGCTTGCGCAAGCCACAGGTGGGGTGGGGGCTCTGTTAAACTGCTCGAGCCCCCATGCCTCGCACTTGAACCAGAAGGACATTGGGACTCAGCTGGGGGGGCAGGAGCCTTCATGTCCCCCCCCCAGCTGAATAGCACAAGGAAGCCTTGGTGAGGAGCCAGGGTGAAAAGACCACAGCTCCCTAGGTGAGAGTGGTGGCAGTTTCACCCTGATACCTTGCGGGGCTGGAGCCAACGCACCTTGTTCCTTCCTCCATTTCAACATCGCGGTGCCAGATCATGATGTTGAAAACCTGACATTGCCCAGCCCCTGGCGTCTTCAGCAGCCTGCCTCATTTCTGCTCCTTGGTGTGCCTCCACTTCTGCCTCTGATTCTGGACTACTCTGTGGCGCTGTGGGTTAAATCACAGAGCCTAGGACTTGCCGATCAGAAGGGCGGCGGTTCGAATCCCCGCGACGGGGTGAGCTCCCGTTGATACCCAGTCCCTGCTCCTGCCAACCTAGCAGTTCGAAAGCACGTCAAAGTGCAAGTAGATAAATAGGTACCGCTCTGGCGGGAAGGTAAACGGCGTTTCCGTGCGCTGCTCTGGTTCGCCAGAAGCGGCTTAGTCATGCTGGCCACATGACCCGGAAGCTGTATGCCGGCTCCCTCGGCCAGTAAAGCGAGATGAGCGCCGCAACCCCAGAGTCGGTCACAACTGGACCTAATGGTCAGGAGCCCCTTTACTCCCTGCTGTCTTCAGCAGCCTGCCTCATTACTGCTCCTTGGTTTGCCTCCACTTCTGCCTCTGATTCTGGACTGCTCTCTGCCACCGCCTCTTCCTTCTCCCTAAAAACCCTATTACCTCTTTAGCTTTTGACACCGTCTCCTCCCTCTGACCAGGCATTGTTGTCCCACCACCAATCCCCTAGCTCTGAGCCTTCTTCCCTTTGGGGTTTCCCAGCTGGTGCCTGCCATCACCCCTCTGTATCCAGTCCATGACAACTGGGGATGTCCACTCCTGGGACTGTGCAAAAGCTGCTGCCAGACACTACTGAGCTAGATGGACCAAAAAGCTCTGACTTACCATAAGGCAATCTCCAACGTTGCCTCTGACGCCTGCCTCTCTCGTTTTGTTTCCATAGGGCTCCCTGGCCTTCCCTAAGGAGCTTCCCAAGTCGCTGGCGGCCGGATTGCTGCCCAATCCGCTGGCTGTGGCAGCCGCCATGGCAGCCGCCGCTTCCTCGCCCCTGACGCTGCGACCAGCCCCGACGCCCCCGCTCTTGCAGGGCCCGCCTCTGACGCACCCGCTCCTGCGCCCGGCTCCGGGGCCCATCCGAACTGCACACGGACCCATCCTCTTCTCGCCATACTGATGCCGCCCGTCCACCCACCTGCCTGCCACAATCCCGGGACTCTTGGCACCACTGGAACCGCCCACCCCGGCAACTAGCAACAGGTCTCGGCAACGTCACATGGCGCCCGGCCCCATCCAACGGGAGCGATTTTTTCTTTCCTTTCTTTTTTTGTTTCTTTTCCTCTTTTTTTCTTTGTAACTAGAGATGGAAATATTTTTCTGAGAAGAGAAAAAGGGACAAACCCGCCCTCACACAAACACACACACACGCACCTGCTCTCAACCCCATCGGGGTCCCTGGCCAAATCTGCACAAGAGCCAGGGTCTCCCACAGGCTGGGCCAAGGTGTGTTTGTGTGCATCTATGTGTGTGTGTCAGTCACATCTCCCGAGGTACACAAAAGGTTGGGGAGCGATAGTGCCTCCCCAGGACTCTGTGGAGCATCGAAAGGGGAGGCAGTTCTGGTACCTCAGGGACTGATCAGCAAGCAATCTCCTTCCATCCCAGAGCTAAGGGGGGGCCCTTGCCTCCCCCACTCATACAAGCCATTGTCCACTTGCACTGAAAGGGGTTTGTGTGTGTGTGTGTTTGTGTGCACGGGACAGAAGACAGGGCCTCCGGAAGACAGAGCCCCTACTGCAATAATGCTGGCCGGCACCTCCATGTACATATCCCCCCCCCGATTCCCCCACGCTCCCCTGTGCTGGCCCCACCCTCACTGCGCTTCCATGCAATGGGGGCCCTCCGTGGCCCCACCACCGCTGCACCTCGACAAGAGACTGGCAGAGCAATTACTGTGCTCCCATTGCCCTCACCCCCCCCCATTCCTCTAAGAGGCAGACAGACATAAACAAACTCGGCATCGTTTTCTGTTCAGAAGTGACATCCACACACCTGAGTCAGACAACCGTTCCCTCCTCTACACCACCCACCCTCCCTAGGTAAGGAAAATCAAGGGAATCTGGCTGGGCTGTTTTTCTTCTTTTAAAGTTACGTTTCATTAAATCTGGAGGAATCAGGAAGAACTCTGAATTGAGAAAGTGAGTGTGAGCCCATCACCTCACCGGGAAACCATGTGAAGGGTTATGGTTGTGTGTGTGTGTGTGTGGTGATGATGAAAAACTGGGACTCACACTGCTATCTCACTGAGTAGGAGCAAGGGCTTTGACTCATCTGACTGGGTCTGGGTTGTTAGCCTTGACTCTTGGCTCCTAAGTAAAGAAGAGCAGGGATCTCTTCTCTAAAGGAGTTCCTTGCATCTCGTTCTGCCTATAGACCTTCCCTTTGGGTTATTTGAGCTGTTGCCATGGTAGCACAACATCTCTCTGTGTCTCCTTCCCCCTCTGCTTTTTTTTTGACAGAGTTGGGTCCCCATCCCTCCACCCCTTTCTTGAGTGGGTGGGACATTAACCAGGAGGCCAGGTCATTAGTTTCCTGGATATTAAACAGCCTCCTCCTCTCCAGGCCCCCTTCTCCTAAAGCCCAACCCCACCCGGAGCACATAAAATTCCAGATGCTTGTTAAATTCCCTGGCACGCATCCTAGTTGGCGCCTATCCGTGGATTTTGCGGGTGTGTGTGTGTACATTTGTGTGTGTTGATTAATGGAACAACGGAGGTTTGGGTTCGCTCTTTCTTACACACACACACACACGCATGCATGCACCATGGTCTGCAGTTTCCCATCTGCCCCAAGCAGAACAACAACGCAAGGCCCAGAATATGACCCCGTAGACCAGGGAGGAAGGTCTTCCATGCCATGGCCATTAGCCACACTCCTCTCCCCTTGCCCCTTTCAAAACTGTGACTGACGTTCAGAGCAATAGAGACACTGGCGTATGTGGGGGGAATGGGACCCACCTTCCCCCTAGCTGGCATGAATCACGCCAGTCCTGTCCCGCGTTACCTCAGTCCCTCAAAGCCCACAGGGCAATCTGTCCCCCTCCCTCTGCCCATCCCAGGTGTCCTGTTCACCCCAGAGTGTCTGTCTTTCCATCTGCCATCCTTCTGTCCATGCTAGACTTTCTCCTTGCCCTCCCCCCCCGCCCACCTTTCTTGCTGACACCAATGCCTTTCTGCTTCATCCCATATAGCACCTTTGATCCCTCTGCCCCTTGACGACAATAAAAGTGATAAGGCTTGTTTTGCCTGCTTTCTTCGCCTCTGTCGGGGACTCCAGGGCTCAGCATGGCGGCTTCAGACTGGGAGCAACCCCTAGGCTCTGTGGGCAAGCGTGTGCTCTGATCCCAGAGCCCACTTCAGATGCTGAAGGGAGGGAAGGCATGGAACTTGCGACTGGCAGGCGCTATGAAACCACTGCATTGGATAGGACTGGTATAAACATGGGGACGTGGCTTTCCGTTTTCTCCAGGTCAGCAGACCAGTGCATCCTGTTTGTTCCTGCTCCACTGACCTCAGGGACACTTAGCTAGAGAACCCATCCCCTGGATCTGGTCATGAAAATGTCACTGTACAAAATCCCAGAGCCTTGGGATATGTGGTGGGGATTTCAGGGGAAGCAAATTCCCACTTCCACCCCTACCGGTCAGATTTGTGAAGATCTTGATAAGGGAGCTGCATCCATGGGCGTAGCCAAGGGGGAGGCAGGGGGCAGCTCCCCCTCCCCCAATCAATAAAAATCAATACAAATTTGAGGTCCTTCCCCTACTAGCAAAAATCCTGGCTATGCCCATGGCTGCGCATCACCTATTAGCTGCTGAGTTGTACAGCCTTAGTTAGTTACCACTGGATAAGAAACTTCAATATAGATTGTTCTGATTATCTTTGCCGTAAAACGAGTTCATGGACTCAACTAAGTTTTAGTCAGAGCAGACCCACTGGAATTAATGAACATGAGCAGTTCCATTAATTTCACTGGGTCTGCTCTGACTAAAACTTAGTTGATTACCACCCCAAATTTTGACTAAAACCACTCAACTCTAAAAACAAGAGTTCTGCTCAGACCAGTTTCATACATGACGATATGCGTTAACGGCAGGCACCCCCAAACCGGCCCTCCAGCTGTTCTCCGACTACAATTCCCATCATCCCTGACCACTGGTCCTGTTAGCTAGGGATGATGGGAGTTGTAGTCCCAAAACATCTGGAGGGCTGAGTTTGGGGGTGCCTGATTAACGGGTATACGATGCATCTCCACGCTGCAGCTGTTTATTCCTGAGAATGTTTCCATGGCATAGGTAAAAAGTGTTAAGCACACTTGAAACATTGCAGTTTCCAACCGATGCACGTTGCAAGTCTGTAATGTGCATCCAGTGAGACTGTAACATGTGATGCATCCCTCAGAGGAGGAGATCTTGACTGCCTACACTGTCTCTGCCTACGCTTGAACACCAATGTGACCCAGAGGTGGCTCTACCCTGAGGCAAAATGAGGCCATTGCTTCGGGCAACATATTTTGAGTGCTATTAAGGAGAGTGGGAGTCAAGCAGATGCGACCTGCAGTGCATGGTTCATTGGGATGTTCTCCAAGCGCCACCAAACTGAAGAGCTGTTTGAGCACATGATGCTCCCGAGCATTTTCGGTTCATTTAAGTGTGGCTTGCGCTGGAGATTTTCCCACTGCCTCGGGGCGAACAGTTTAAATATGTTATTCAGATTTCCTGCCTCAATCACCGAAATGTCTTGAGGGCAGCCCTGCAAAGAACTCCGATTGGCTCTGGGTTCTGTGTGCATGTCTATTTTAGACCTAGCCCTCTCCCAGAGAGAGAGATCATGCAGATTGCTGCCTCCCCTGGTTTTTAATCCTCCTTTTTCCTTGCTTGCTCAAGCAGCGCAGAGAAAGCGCAAGCAAGGGAGGGTAGATTAAGGACTGGGCTGGGTCCAAGTTTCCATTTTATCAGTTCATGTGACTTCAGCCTGGGGCTGGCCCATGGGTCTGAGAGTGGGGCTGCCTATAGCACAGAATTCACATTACAGAATCATAGAATTGTAGCGTTGGAAGGGACCCCAAGGATCATCAAATTCAGCCCCCTACAATGCAGGAATCTCAACAGCATCATGCACAGCCGGAGCGCCACAAGCATTTCCCAAGGAGCCTTCTCATGCTTCTTGATAATGTGCTGCAGTAAACTTCCCAGGGGCTTAGGAAGAGAAGGTGCCTTGAACCTCTCAGCGCCTAACAAACAGACAAACCTTTCCTTGCTGGCAAGCTTTCGCTTCCTTAGACATGCGGTGAGCAGTGCTGGCTCACGACAGCAGGGGGCAGAAGAACACATTTGTTCTCTGCACCACAGCACCTTGATCCCACACGAGGATTGTCCCATTGATCAGGGCTCTTCCTGGGCTTGCAGCATCTTCTCAATCACTTGACTCAACACCCTTTCAATTCAAAATGACATGGCTCTTAAGGTGCGACAGCCCTTAAGAACCATGAATGTGGAGATATACAGATGTCTGTATATACAGGTGTCTGTTCGGTCTATGTACTGCAAACATCAAATACAGTGTATAGACACAGTATATTGTGTATACTGTATATACAGTATACAAAAGGAACGTTTGATGTGCAGTTAAAAAAAATAAATCTCTGCGACTGGATGATACAGACATCTGACAGCAAGTGGTTTGACCCCCATGGTGTTAAGTTATTCCTTGGCTATTGGTTGTCTATATCCACCCTGTGCCAATGGAACATTTCAGGCATTCACTTCCACAGCTCACAGACAGGAGGGGAGGATGGGCAAAAGGACCATTAGAGCAATTGGGCAGAAGCTATTGTTGCTGCTGCCTTTAAGCTCTTTAAAGGTTCGTGTAGTGTATAATCAACGTGTGGAACTCACTATCGCAAGATGTGACAGCACAAGCTTAGATCAGAGGTTTCTGTCTTGCCAGACCTACTTTGTGTGTGTTTTCTTCTAGAACTCCAATCGGGTGCAAAGCCATGCAATTAGTATTCAATTAAAGGGGTGCCTCTGAGCCTAGGAAATAGTTTCCAGCAGTACTGGACTGAACACAAAAGCCCTTTCACACAAAAATCCAGTCCTGGTTAGCTTGTGTCATTTCTACAGCCTAATTTGGGTGAAAAGGTTGTTTTACAGTTGCTTTTGTTAAACGGCGGGTATCAGAAATCCTTGCTCATCTACGGCAAATCAACCAGAGATCTTCTACCAGTAGATCCCAGGCTACAATCTGCCCAACCCTGGCCTTGATAGCTTGTAAAAGGGATTACGCAAATTCATACAACATTGGTTGGTTAATTAAACATTAGTTATTATGACTAAATTACCATACCTTTGGGCTCATCTGTCAAGGCAGTACTTACGTTTTTATGAAAGGTGGAAAGACTCTTCAGGCTGGGATATAGCAGCTGTAGCCCAAGAAGCCCTGTGTGTATAAATACAGACACAGAATTATTACTATTCTTATTATTTATTAAATTTCTATACCACCCTTCATCCGAAGATCACAGGGCTGGTGTAACAAAACAAAAACACATACCATATTATTACATCAAGGTCAGCAACCTTTGGAGGTCTGTGGGCATATACAGAGTTTTGAATGTGTGCTATGATCTCTTTTCTACCCCCTCCTGTGTATCAGCCTCCACGGAGGGAAAATGCTCAAACACACACTAGGATCCAGTAGAATTAATCTGAGCTTTGAAAAGCACATAGAGTGAAAGGAGGAAGTAGGGAAGAGTGTCCCTCTTCCAACTTCCTCCTCCAGCTCTCTGTACTTGTCAAGTGAGAAAAAGGTAACAAGTCTCACCATGACCAAGGGTGTGTGTGTGTGTGTGTGTGTGTGTGTGTGTGTGTGTGTTTATTGGGAGCCTCAAAGGCTTCATGGACACCAGGGGAAGACCTCAAGGGTGCCACGTTGGCAACTCCTGGATTGCACCATGTCTTAATTCCAAGCAAGCTGCTTCCCTTGCCATCGGTGTGTGAATGCTGCTGAGTTTGGCAGGAGAAAAGATGATAGATATCTAGAATGACTTCCGGCCAACTGAGAGAGCTGGCTGGGGCCTGGAAGAATATCTGAAGGTATGCAATCTTGCAGTGGAAGTGCTACTAGCCAGGCATCCCAGGATAAATCTGGGTGGTTTCTATGGATGAGCCTGTGTTCTGGTTTCATGGGTTGTCTGAACCTGACCTATAGCAAGCACTGAGAGCAGCAAGGCTTATACAGCAGCAGGTGAGAGCAGGTAAATCTCAGCCAAGCAGATTGCCCAAAGTTAAAAAACAAAAACAAAAAAAATACAGGACACAACTCTTTCACCAAAGGGGACCTGGATCCAAATCCCAGCTCAGTGCTTAATTTGGGTCAGCAATCCTTTTGTCTCTGCTTGGGGCAGCTCAATCCACTAGGAGATTAGGGGTATTGGAGTTCAGCAACATTTGGTTCCCCATCACTGAGCAAAGCACCTGAGGGCATGGGTAGCATTCCTTGTAGGAGTGTTGCCATCCTTTCCCTTGGGTGTGGGCCTTAAATCTTCTTCAACAGCAACCCGTTCATTTTCTCTGTCCACACTTTCACCTGTTTGTGCCAAGCAGGACTCCAGGTGGTGGTGGGACAAATGAAAGGACCGGGTACTAAATGAGCAGGAGCAGGTGTCACTGCTTGGAGATCCACTGCATCCTGCTTTGCACATACTGCTGAACTGTGGTTTATTAAACCTCGGCTTAGTGTTATGTGCAAACTCTGCCCAGCAGCTTAACTATGGTTTGTTTACTGCCAACAACCCATGGTACAAACCCATGGTTCATTGCTGGCTTATGAAACTTGGTTTGGCATTACATGAAAACCCAGCACTCTTCCTTGTTTCATTACCCTGCCCCAGATGCTCACCAGACCACAAAGGCACAAGGCAAGAGCAGCTGGGAAATAAAACCAGTGGAGAAACAAGCCATGGTTTGCTTAATCATCTGTGTGACAACTTGCAGTTTGTAAAATAAACTGTGGCTGTGTGTTGAATGCCAACCAAGTCTATACTTTTCAGGTGCTTCTGATCTCGAGATGGATCCGTTAGCACTGCCTCTTTGCAATGAAAAAGGCATTACATTCATTATACAATACTTCCTCCCGTGTACAGCATGCCATTCCCTCATTAGGAATGATGACCTTGCTTCTCCCCCAGAATTAAAAACAGGTGGAATTTAGGAAGGAACAGTGGTACCTCAGGTTACATACACTTCAGGTTACATACGCTTCAGGTTACAGACTCCGCTAACCCAGAAATAGTACCTCAGGTTAAGAACTTTGCTTCAGGATGAGAACAGAAATCATGCTCCGGCGGCGCGGCGGCAGCAGGAGACCCCATTAGCTAAAGTGGTGTTTGAGGTTAAGCACAGTTTCAGGTTAAGAACGGACCTCCGGAACGAATTAAGTACTTAACCCGAGGTACCACCGTACTTTAAAAGTTAGGCACAGCCCACCTAATCATCTTTGGGGTCTCAATATTTAACTTATTTGTGTTAGGTTAACAGAAAACAATGCCAATATATTCAAAAATTAATTGTTCATCTCGTGAAGTCACAATTTGAGGTGATGTATGTGTTGCCTCAGACCTCCGAGGGCGGGGGGGAGTCTCCTTCTTGAGTTTGAACCTCACACCTGACTAAAAGGCACAACTTCTTTCTAAGACAGGTTGCATTATTAGTAGTACTGATTTGTCTGCCTGAACCTAGGCCATGCCCCATCCCCACTACGCACTGCCTACAGCATGGATGGGGGCCCGGGACCCTACAAATGTTGCCCCATAGAGGATACCAATATTATAAATACGTAACAAAATACGAAAATACATAGTAACTGCAACTCAGGATTACACCCTGGACATAATCCTTTCAGCTTCAGGTTGTTAATTTCCTCCATATTATCACTGCCATTGATAGGAATTTGGCCATTATCAATAATGTGCACTGGATTTTATTTCCCAGCAAATATTTTATACACACACATAGAAAGAGAACGAGAGAGAGAGGGAACTACATGTATATCCCACCTTTCCCCAAAGAGCTGAAGGTGGCAGACACACTTCCTCCTCTTCGCCATTGCATCCTCACAGCAACCTTGTGAGGTAGGATAGGCCCAAAGTGGGGATTCAAACCCTGATATCCCACATCCTCATCCAGCACTCTGACTAACACACGACACTGGTTGAGCAATTATCTGCTGGTGAAATCCAGCATAAAACCTACAGAAGGACATGGCCCACAGGTTCCACCTCCTGGCTTGTGGGCATGCCTTCGTAGAGAAAGGAACACCAGCACAAAAACCTGTTGGATGACGGCTCCCATCAACCCTGATCATTGGCAATGTTGGCTGGGCCTGATGACAGCTGCTGGACTTCAACAACATCTGGAGGGCCACAGGTGTTGACGGCAACCTGAGAGCACAGGCCAAAAATGCTTTTAAAACTTGAGAAGCTTGTTGCGCTGGTTCCTGTGCTTAAATGCTGGGCCAGACATCTAATTTAACTCTACTTGTGTCTGGCTGTTGCCTAGTCTAAGCTAAATGAGATGTGTGACGCATGGATTCTAACTGATCTTCTGGGTCGTTGCCTCTAACCTAGCCTTCCTGCTTACTGCTGCGGACCTCCACAACTCCACCAACGGAGCACTTGGGGCCACAAAGAAATACAGCTCAACTCCCCCCTCCCTGACCATGACAAACAGTCCAAACATGCAAACCTCTTCTTCACATGCTTTGGATGGCTGGTGGGCAGTGGGACAGAGGAAAAGGTAAAGGGACCCCTGACCATTAGGTCCAGTCGTGACCAACTCTGGGGTTGCGGCGCTCATCTCGCTTTATTGGCCGAGGGAGCCGACGTACAGCTTCCGGGTCATGTGGCCAGCATGACTAAGCCGCTTCTGGCGAACCAGAGCAGCGCACGGAAACACCGTTTACCTTCCCGCCGGAGCCGTACCTATTTATCTATTTGCACTTTGACGTGCTTTCGAAGTGCTAGGTTGGCAGGAGCAGGGACTGTGCAACGGGAGCTCACCCCGTCGCGGGGATTCGAACTGCCGACCTTCTGATTGGCAAGTCCTAGGCTCTATGGTTTAACCCACAGTGCCACCCGCGTCTCCTGTATTTTCTCTTTTGGAACTCTTAAACAAACAGCTCTCTTTCCCAGGGAAGGAAGGGTATTTCTGCATTGTTTTAGCATCATGCAAAGCCGCCTATATTTTGTCTTCTCGAAGAGTATTTTACACACACAGAAACAGATGAAGCTTCTTACACTGACCTAACTTCCATGCAGGGAATACTCAGCCACATCTGTATGCATTTCAACCGTGTCCATGCAGATGCTCTAACTGGCAGGGTGTTTCCATAAATATTTATATGCGGAAAAAGAGGCCTGTGTGAGTTGCATTTTGGACCGTTTGCATCAGGACCAGGTGCAGGAGGGATGTGCAAACCAGGGCTTGCTTATGTCTTACTGGCTAGACAAGCAGAAGCAACAAGACAGGAACTTAGCTGCCATTGCAATGGCATCCGCAAGTGTGCCATTTTACTTTATGCCATAGATGTCAGGGATGGGAAAACCTTTGGCCTTCCAGATGTCATTGAACTTCCACCAGCCCCAGCCAAACATGGCCAATATTCAGGGATTAAGGGAATTGTAGTCTTCAATAATGGGGTGCCTCTGAGTTTAGGAATTAGTTTTTAGCAACCAGTACTGAACTGAACACAGCAACCTTCAGAGCGCCACAGATGTTTCCCCTGCCAATACAGGTGAATTATTTGGGTTCTATCCGATGGGAGATGTAAGCATTGCACTTTGGGGATACCTTTGTGGTGAAGAGGTCACTCACACATTCACATTCATACACACACACTTGGTAACAAGGTCTGCACAAATGGTGACTCCACAAGGGTGTATGTCCCCATCTGTGTCCATCAGGGGGGTCTCTGAAAGATACATACCCCTTCACCATACCTGTCATGATGATGGGGAAGAAAGAGAAGCAGGATGATGAGGTAGACATCCCACCTGCAGGTGTTTTGCTAGCACATCACAAAGAGCGGCTTTGCTAAATGACTTCCCTGACAGGTGTTCAATCACAGATGCTTAGATCTGAGCACTGGACTGATGTTCAAAGCATTGCACATAATGAAAGGCCACTTTTGTTTTCAACTTATAGCATTTAAAGTTGTCCCAACCAAGCCTGTGGCTGAGAGGGTGGGTGGACTTCGGTCCAAATATACGTGACATGGAAATCTGACACAGCCAAAGGAGACTGCAGTCACAAACAAATGAAGCTTGTTTGCTGCTGGTGGGTTTTTTTCTTACAATTGTCCCACAAGCTGCTTCTCTCTCCCCTGCAGTGGGACAAGGGAAATGGCATAGTACGGTAATTCAGGAAATGGGTAAGTTCTGA